CCTAACCGGAGAAAGGATTGAGCAACTCTGCAAACAACTGCACCATAATTAACACTATAACTCTAGAACATTGCATGTTTTTAAGTCGCTATTTATTACCATATTGTTCTATAAGTGAATTGAACACTACATACTTTCCTCAAAACAGATCTATCCCATGAACATTGCACTCTAAAATTTAGAACAATTTTAAAATTTTGAGAACATCTTATTTAACTGAAGAAGATGAATGGTTGAAAGATGAGGTACAGTATCAGTTGAACAACTTATATACAACAGGAAACTTAAAAGACGTACTCGTAAAACGTATCTCGAGTGACATGTTTTCCAGTTGTCACCAGACAAAGTGCACGTGTAGTCAGGATTCCTAGAAAATGCATTGCCTCACTGCGAAGGAATTCCAGGATACTACTACGCAAGACTGCAAGAGCATCAGCAAACCGGCTGTATGGGGGTCTTTCCAGCACCCTTAAGCTGCAATTCCCACCTTTCAGAGTTTGAATTCAGAACCCCTCCAAGAGTAATTGCCCTACCATCACCCCAACTGACCGGCCCACATTCCAAAATGATGTCCACCATAGCATTGTGCATAAGGATTTCAACAGAACACGTCACAAAAGGTTTGGTAGAACTGGTGAAAGAGAGAAATGAACTAAGCAACGACACTTAGGCTCCGACCAAGGGTGAAGCACCAGAGGATATAAGTGGAAAATCAGGTCTTTCTAATCTAAAATATTATAGGCAATCAGGTATGAACATTATATTGTCCAGGAAGCTCATTTACATATGTAAAGGATACATAACTAAGCAATCAAAACTAGTCATATTTTGATATAAGAAAAAGAATGACAACTCACTCTTTAGAATCCAAACCAAGTAACTCAGCAACAGAATTCGACCATGCAACAAGCTGAGGATTCCACACTTCAACAGAAAGAGATATTCTTGTATAGCAAGCATGCAATACCTAAACGCATTTTGTGAAGAGGTATCTAATATGGAATGTCATTCATTATAAAATTAGCGGTAAAACAATTATTAATGAGCCAACAACATAAAAGCAGTGTTTCCAAAGAGCCTGAGCCAGGGGACCCGGAGTGAGGTGTTCATTAGGGGCATAGAAGCTTATACTTTGAGGGCTCTTGGTCAAGTCTTACACTCAACTTACTGAGGCAGTAAATGAGGTGTGCGCTCCTCGGTATTGACATTTCAGTATTCTCGGTTTTTAGCATAGATTTTCCTATTGATACCTATCATTAATCTTGAAGCTTTTGGTGGCAGACAGTCTGATAACAGATAAAGTATGATACCTATCATTAGGGGCGTAAAAGCTTATGCTTTGAGTTTCTTCACCTTGGGTTTTTCCCCCAAGAAAAAAAAAAAAAAAGGAAAAAAGAAGAGAGAGAGAGAGAGAGCTAACTTCTTGTTATGTAGTTATTATATTGTTGACTTATTATTTGTTATTTATTTTATCAATTTACGTCAAGACTCATCCCTAGCTTAAAGGAAAAAGCCTTGATGCCCAGTATAGCCTTTTCAAACACCGGATAGCAGCCAATTAAATATTCATCTTGGCATATCCTAAATGAACAGCATAATAAGTTCAACTGTTCAAGAAACTCAATATACCTCAATCATCTGATGAAGTATCATCAGATTGCCCTTGCACTTCGATTAGTCACATATTTACAAACCCAAACAAACAAGAAAAGTGAAATGGAACCCAAAAAAAAAAAAAAAAGTTAAGTTCTAAACTTCTTGTGATTTTTTGGAAGACGAAGACAGAAGTTTAACAAAGATGATGCTGGTATAAAACAGGAGAATTTATCCTGAAGAACTGTTGAAACTACGCGAAACCCTCACAAGGGTTTATGTACAAAGAAAGGGGGGTTGTATCTGAAGACATGGAAGGAGATGTTTTTATGTTAGCATAGTATATCTAGAGGCACAACAAATCGCCATGAAGCCAAAGACTAAAATGTCAGAATAATAACGAGTAAATTTAACCGATCTTTAAATTTTTTATCACTTACTTACTCATCTTTCACTTGTTATTGAATACTTACTCATCTTTCCATATAGTTACCCATCTACCACTCGTCTCTTCAAATAATTGGACAATTTTTGCGACAACTTTCCGACCACCAAGACCGTCGGATTTTTATATCGTTGGAAAGCCTACGATGTCCTCTACAATTATCACCTTTGAGTGGTAATTGAAGAGAACATTATGGACCTTTTTAATGGTATCAAAATTCAGCAGTTTTGGTGGTCGAAAGTCATCGAAAAATTATAGTAAAATTCGTCCAAAAAATCTGAAAATCTGGGCAAATTTTCAGATTTTTTAGGCGACTTTTGCGGCAATATTTTGGTCGAATCCTTTGGAGTTATGGGAGATTTTGGATGGTAATTGAAGAGGACATCGTGGGTTTTCCAACGGTATCAAAATCCGACGGTCTTGGCGGTAGGAAGTTGTTGGAAAGTTGTCGCAAAAATCGCCCAATTATTTGAAGAGAGAGTAATGGATGGGTAACCATATGGAATGATGAGATGAGTGAGTATTGAGTAATGTCTGAAAGATGAGTGAGTAAATAATAATAAGTTTAAAGTTCATTGAGCATTGAATAAATTTACTCAAATAATAACTCAAGCGCAATGCTTAGATTGGACATTTTATTTTTTACGCCAAGCAATAATAAAATTAGATTAAAAAAATCACACGTACACTCTCAAAAAAAAATCCTGTCTATGAAAAGAACTTCATTTATTATTTTTCATGATTGTATTTCCAAATCATCCCAAAATTACCATGATCATTTCGTGAATTTCAGTGATTACACGAACATCCATCATTTCAGATAATTAAAGAACTTCACAAGATTGCTAATTTTGTGTTAAAATTCAAAATATAAAATATAAAACAAGACCCATGAACGAATTAAATTGAATCGATAAAACAAACCTCTCGTGAAACTGAATCGGTCTGGGGGTCACCCGGCAGCTCACGGACAAATGAGTGAACCCACTTCAGTTCTTCCAGCGTCAATTTAACCCTATTATTTATACCATCATTTCCACTATCAAAATCATTATTCTTAATGTTATTATTATTTTCTAATTTCTGATTTTTTAAATCATGAGAAATAGAATCGACGGAGGCAGAAGAATGGTTATCCATTGAAATGATGAAATAGGAGTAGTGTTTATGTGATTTGAAGGTATTGAAAAGGCAGAACTGGAAGTTTGAGATGGGGCGGAGGAGGGCGACAATGGCAGTGGCAGTGGCAGTGACAGTGACAGTGACAGTGACAGTGGCGGTAAGAGAAGACGAGCAAGAGGAGTGAGAAAGTGAAACTGAAATGTGAGATTCAAAATACCATTAGCTTTGACTGGCCTTTTATTTTCCAGTTTTGCTATAAGTACAGAAAAAATAGACAAAATTTTTATAGATAGACACTTGGCAAATTTTCATTGATTTTTGACAAAATAAACACAAAAATTACATCGTATAGATGGCAATGGGACGGGTTCGGTAAAACCCGTGCCTCGGGGCGGGGCGGGGTGGGGTGGGGACGGAGCAACTTTTTGCCCTGTTTGTTATCCAGTTTAATTTTTTTTATTATTATTATATATTTTTTTATATTTTGAAAGTTTCGAATTATGTTATTATTAGAGAATAAAATACAAATTTAAAATAAGTTTTTAAAGGATGAATTGTCTAGAAATAAAATTATTTTTAATTTTTTTTTTTTTTTACTTTTTCTTCACAGGGGGCGACCATTTACGCCCCGTCCTGCCCCATGCCCAGCGACGAGGCAGATTTTTTTGCCCCATTCGGGACGGGACGGGGCAAATTGTCATCACTAATTTCTATCAATAATTCACTATATCTATGGAATTATTCTTTATTTTCTCAATTTTATTGCCAAATGCATTTTCTAATAAGAAATTGCAATGTCTAGAGAAGCTTAAGTAGAAATGTGTGCATTTAAATTGACTAATCGAGTTCTAGTTTAGGTAGCCAATCAAGGAATGCTTTGTGTATTTCAACTTATGATTATCTTAATATAGTTTTCATTGTTGACAAGTAAAAATAATATCAAACTCAACGTTCAATTAGACCAATTATTAAATGTTATGAAATAAATGATTGATCGATTAAAATTGAAATAGCCCATGTTTTTTTTTTTTTTTTTGGACATAAATCTCCTTAGAACTAATCAATGATGATAGGATGTCCCAATCATCTTATTCTATCGTAAAAAGTATACGATGAATTTTTTATGAATGAACAAATATTTTTATTCATTCATTCGAAGTTAGACAACAATAGAAATTTCTTGTTGAATTAAAATTATGAATAATTCCAATTGTACAGAAATCATCTCATAAAAACCATACAGAAGTCTCACATGGGAGTGGATCTTATGTGGAATAAAATAGTTCAAAAAATAACCACCCCTCTGCTATGTGTATGGTCTGTAACATTTTGTACGCACAATTTTCTGTACGTACAGCAACTCTCTAAAATTACGTACTCAAAACTAGTAAACATCACCAAAGAGAATATAAATACAAATACAATCAATGTTGGTTTCAAATTATTTTTCGAGTTCATTCGACATGCTACTCGGGTATAGTACGTTCACCAAGAGGATAATACAAATTCGTACTTCGTCACTAAGGGTAATCTACAAGTTTACAACGGAATGCATGCCAATTTGCTCGTAATACGTACAGGGCTAACTTGCCCATTCTTTTTCCTGCAAGGCATGTTTGGCTAAGCCCTAAAAGGGTAAGCACACTTACTGTGTAAAAGTGACTTGTATTAAAAATTTTCCAAAAAAAAAGTAACTTGTCAAGAAAGGGCAAACACGTTTGACTAAAAAGGTTACTTGGAAAGCAACTTTTGGATATTCAAATATGTTTGGCTAAGCTTAAATAATTCCATTTTAAGCTTAGCCATATATGCTCTAAATGACTAAATCCATCAAAGAAGATACAGTCACAAGTGCCATTTTTGCAAAATGAAAGAAATCAATTCAAACAAGATGAGGATTGACAGATGACCGATAAAATGGTACTCTTAAAACTGTTCAGAGAGCCTATAAATAAATTCTACAAGGGAATCCTTCTGAGTGTTACAACAGGCAACAAATACAGTCCCTACAAAATTCAATAGATTTTATAATAAGACGCCGCTGGCCAAAGTCCATTCTTGGTTATGACCATGAAATCCTCTATGATACAACCTTAAAAACCTGATTTTTGTGCCTACATTACTTGGCCTTTGGTATGTCGAGATCTTTGAATATGGGGCTATCAACTCCCACTCCCATAGCATTCAGTCCATTGTCGACGTATATAAGAGCACCGGTGATTGCAGAAGCCAGTGGAGATGCTAGGAATGCGGCAGTGTTTCCGACCTCATCTGTTCATTGGTCTTCAAAGTTTAGATACGAGAAAATTGCATTATTGGTCCCTAACCTAACTCATTGCCTCATTAGAAAGTTAGTCCTCGACCTTTCGAAGGAGCAAATTGATCCCATTATACAATCATTTCCCAACTACAGAAACCACGCCTCAATTAAGATGCAGTGTCCTTGCATGCATAACTTTTTAAAGATAGGTTGTGTTTTCCAACTGTGCTAGTGTTAGATATTTGAAGTGAAAAATTTTCTATGGGGACCACATAATGATATACAGAGATTTAGCACTTCCGTCTTGTGGATTGATTGTACAACTACAATGTAAAATTGAGGACTAACTTAATAGGTTGGGGACCAACAGTACAATTGTCTCTTCAGATGCAGTTGAACGTGCTCGAGGGACATAAGAATAAGAAACTGAAGCAGGAACGTATTTACAGAATTTACCTGCAGATAATTCTTTCTGAAGAGGTGAATTAGCTAGGGAGTAATCAATCATGGTATCAATGAACCCAATTGCTTTAGCAGCACGGCTCCTTAATGGTCCTGAACACATTTCACATTGCAGTTGAAAGGAAAAAAATGAGCAGGATCGCTAATTAGATCTGCCTAATACAGAGTGGGTCAACTGAAAAATGAAATCATTTCATGCGAAGGAGTCTTAAAATGGGTATACGCAAGTGTAATGAAAAATCATGTGGTTATGAAGACGCTGTATTCTTTTATGATGTCAGTTACGGACACAAACAGTAATATCTGAATCTGAAAAGATAAAATGTTGGGCAAAGGCTAATTCTCGGTTGAACAGGACAATATTACCAGCAGATATAGTGTTGACCCTGACTTTATGTTTTCTTCCTGCTTCAAAAGCAAGAACCTGCAGAACACAACAAATTAACACCTTCAAACCAAATTGTGAGAAAATGCGGGAAAAAACTACAATGATCATTCATAAACTTGCCCTTGTGTCACTCTCAAGTGCTGCTTTTGCTGAACTCATGCCACCTCCATATCTGTTTGTATTTAAAGTTAATAACTTCTGTGGAAAGTAGTAGTAGATTTTACACGAGAATAGGAAGAAATGCTACAAACTCAAATACCCTGGAATGATCCTCTCAGAAGCAATGTACGTGAGAGAAATAGAAGAACCACCTGCAAAAACAGCCCACCTTTAAATCCGACTAGCAGGTTTCACATGATAAGGGCATGTTTGGCTAACCTTAAAAGTTACTTTAAATAACTTTTTCTTCCATACGTGTTCGTATTTTTTAAGAAGTTACTTTTTTCCAAATTTTCAGCACAAAATATTTCTTTTTTGACACGTCTTTACTCATTGTCAAAAAATGCAAGTTTACTTCTTTTAAGCTTAGCCAAACATGCTTTCTAATAATGCTAAATTGGAAATGCAACATTTGAAAAGATGAAAGAAAGCACAAATAGTACAAGTAACAAGACATGCCTGGGTTCATAATTGGAAGGAAATGTTTAAGTAAGGAAACATAAGAATAACTTGATGCAGATATTGCTGCAAGATATCCCTTTCTTGAGGTCTCCAACAGAGGTTTAGTCACCTAGTTATAAACACCTCTGTCAAGATCAAGTGAAAATATTTACATCTGCATAATATAAAAGAAGGTGTTGTACCTCTGGGCCGTTAGCGAGTGAATGTACAAGAATGTCAATGCTCCCAAAATCCTGTTTTACAGTTTCTGCTACTTCCTGTAATGGCATTTCAAAAAACATGTCAGAAAAAGCATGGTTGAGGTGAAAGTAAATAAAATTAACTAACATAGTGAAGTCTGAAACTCTAAGAAAATACTAAGATTTTCCAGACCTCACTGGATAATCTTGATCAGTAAACAAGAAAAATTTACAAATTGAAAATAATCTAAAAAGGAGTTGTCTTCTTTAAGTGACGGTCCCATAAAACAACAACAACATTCTAGTAGTGAAAGAAAATAGCAGGTACCTGAACAGTCCAATTACTGGATCCAGCATAGCGCTTATTTGTTTTTATCTGATTGAAGAACAATAAAAACAAAATTCATTAAGCACCTCTACAACATTATTGAAACTTATTGGTTGCTATCAAAGAATCCTTATTTGTTGAGATTACATCTTCTGGAACATCTTCAGGATTGTCAAAAACTGCGTCTAATGGATAAACTTTGGTGATTTCCATCAAAGAACCATCTGGCAACCTGACATAAAATTCTTTGTAAACGAAAGAGATTTCTCACACATTCTCTTTGTTAAGTTTAAAAATGAAAGGTATATGATTAAAAAATCTTACACGCGTGATTCATCAAATTTCCCCCGTCGCAGGCTCATTTCAAAAATGTTTAAAGCCTATGTGAATTAATTCAACAATTTAACTAAAGATTAAACATACTGAGTGAAAGCAAATATATGCAGATAGAAAATTTCTGATATTCTACTTACAGGCACCCATGTGCCAACAAGAATTTCAGCTCCTGCTGCAGCCAGTGATTTTGCAATAGCCCATCCATATCCGTTATCATCAGCAATGCCTGCTATAAATGCTCGTTTCCCTAAAACAGCATGTACAGCTTCGTCATAAAAATACTTATGTTACACTGTTATCAACACATAGAGGAGCAAACAGTGAAATCCTGGTATTGCACTAACGTAGAGACCATTTAATCTTCATTATTCCTGACAAACAAGAACTTCGCTACAGATTATTAGCATAACAAACAATAATCTTTAGAGCACAAATACCATCCATGCCCACTAACTGTAAAAGATTCAAATTCCTTTGACAGGCTTGCACGTATTGACATATATAAAAGAATAAAGAAAGAATCTCATCCAACCACATGAACAACTTCCTTCAAACCAAAAAAGATTTCTTACTTGATGTGAGGGTCTCAACATGTAATTGAGATAAATGAAGAATATGATTATTACCTTATCAAGATAAGCTACTCCAATATTTTCTTCCTTAAATGCTAATGTTAAACTTGGAGGCAGTTAGAGGATACTCAAAATATTATTTTCTTCATTTTTTTGTTGAATTAATTTGTTGTGTTTCATCTCATATGCTGTTGTAACCATCCTACCCCAAAAGAATGTAATTATACCATATTTCGTTCATGAATAATGAAGGCATACTTTTAGTGAAAGGTCGGATTTAGTTATCCATGACACAAAATATAGAAAGATAGCAGGAAAAGTATGCATGAATATATGATTTTTACAGTAGAAAATGGTCTTCCAGAATCCAGTAACAAAAGGGGAAAAAATAAAAAACACCTTTCAAATTGATCGGCAATCCAGGTGCAGGCTTGTTTTCACCAGCTTCACACATTGCCTTTGTGACGACTTCATTAAATTTTGAGGGAGATGTGAAAGTACAGTGGAAGAGTTGTCCAGATGATATATGACAAGCACTGGAAAGCTTAGACCACAATGCCCCTTGATGATCGGTGCCACCACGTGCCAGGCGTGCTCTTATGATTCTTCCAGCTGAGAAAAGAGAGGGTTTAAAGGCTGCAATTTGCAAACTTGAAACTGAAGGTGCTGCCATTTTCACTTCAGAAAAATGTTGAGACCTGTTCGATATGCCAAAATTAGAACTAATCTGCCATAATAATTAGAATAGAAGTTCAGAAAAATGTATGCATAAATGTTGTTTGCATATGTGCATAATTAGATAAGCAAAATGTTAATGAAAGATATGTTCAAGATAAAATGGATGAAAATGATGTTGGAGATAAAAAGGGTGACGAACTTGGTGATGAAATGAATGAAATTGATAGAAATAATCTTAGAGATGTCTCGATTGAAAAAAATGTCAAGGATATTGGGAATGATAGGCTTGAAGTAGATGTTGCACAGCTTCCTTCGGATCTTGGATTGAGAGTTCCAATACAAAATTATGATGCTAATATTCAAGATATAATTCAAAGAGCATATGTGCAAAGGGGTCCATAATAACTTCGCAATCATGAATTTCCACCCACAAAAATAGCTAACAAAGATATATGACTTTGTGTTTCATGATATAACGAGCATCCTACTTGGTTGGAATATAATAGAGCAAAAGATGCTGTATTTTGCTTCTACTCCTATCTTCTCGGTTCAAGTGGTGGTTCATTTGTTAATGGCGAGTTCTCAAATTAGAAAAAGAAGGAAATTACAAAAAACACGTTGGGGCATCAAGTAGTGCACACAATGAGGCTCGGTTCCATTATGAATCATTCAAGAATAGAGAACAAAACATTTGATCATGTCTCTTTAAACAATCACATCAAGCTCAAACAGAGTATCGAATTTTTTTGAATGCATCAATTGTTTGTGTTCGATTTCTTCTATACCAAAGGATGGATTTTCGTTGACATGACGAATCTAAAGATTCAAAAACAATCAAAGAACTTTCTTGAATTATTACTTAAATTATTAAATTGGTTGTGTGATCATAATGTTGAGATTAAGGCTATTGCTTTGACGAATGAACCTGAAAATCACAAATTACCATCACCATGAGTTCAGAAAGATATTGTGAGTGCTAATACTTCTGAAACTCTAAATGTGATTATCAAACATATAGGGGATAGCTTGTTTTCTATTCTAATTGATGAATCTCAAGACATTTCGATAAAAGAGCAAATGTCTGTTGTCATTCGTTATGTGAAGAATAGACGCGTGTATTGAAACATTTCATTGGTGCCACGCATGTTTCGAGTACTACAACTATTGCACTTAAGGCTGCAATTGATCAATTATTCCCTAAGCATAGTTTAATTATATCTAACTTGAGAGGTCAAGGATATGATGAAGTTAATAATATGCGAAGTGAGTATAATGGTCTCAAATAATTTTTTGAAAGAAAACCCAAGTGCTTATTACATTCATCACTTTGGTAATCAACTTCAACTAACTCTTATAGTTGTGGCACAGAAACATCTTAAAATTGAAGCTTACTTCACTTTAGTACACAAATTGGTGAATGTTGTAGGAGAATTGACTAAGCAGAGTGATCTTATTCGAGAAAAATAAGGACTCAAAATTCTTGAAGCACTTAGTGTTGGTAAAATATCAAATGGACGGGATCTCTATCAAGAAACTACTCTTAAGCGTTCTGGTGATACACGTGGGACACTCACTACAGTTGTTTGGTTAACTTGATTCTCATGTTTTTAGCCACCATTGATATTGTTAAGTTGATTGCTATTGATACTACAAATTCCAAAACAAGAGGTGATGCAGATATTTTATTGGAGACAATATTAAAATTTGAATTTGCATTTAATCTACATCTCATGAGAAAAATCTTAAAAATTTCAAACGAATTGTCAAAAGCATTATAAAGGAAAAATCAAGATATTGTCAATGCCATGAGATTGGTGAATTGATGTAAAATACAACCTCAAATCATGACGGATGATGGATTAGATGCTTTTTTTGAAATGGTTTGTTCATTCTGTGAAGCTCATAAGATCAATATTCCAAATATGAATGATATATTCACAACTCTAGGTCGTTCACGATGTGCCACAGTGACAAATTTTCATCACTTCCATGTGGAAATATTTTATGCCATCATTGACATGGAACTTCAAGAATTGAATAATAGTTTTTCAGAGGTGAATAGTGAGTTACCACTTTGTGTTACGTGTTTGTATCCAAATAATTTATTTGCTGCTTCTGACAAGAACAAGCTGATTCGACTATGTTAGTATTACCCAACAGATTTTGACACAACGGATATATAGGAGCATGATGATCAATTAGATACATATATTCTTGTCATGCGCACCCATGAATATTTGGAAGGATTACAAGGCCTCAGTGATCTTGAATAGAAACTGGTTGCGAAAAATAAACATGTATCTAATAGTCTACAAGATTGTGCCATTAACCTTAGTTCTTCCCATGGCTACTACTATAGTCGAGAGAGCTTTCTCTGCAATGATTCAATGTCAAAAATCGTCTATGCAATCGAATTGAAGATCAGTGGCTGAATGATAGTTTGATAACATATGTTGAGAATGGTGTATTTGACAATATTGAAAATGATATCATTATGCAACGTTATCAAAGTATGAAAAATCGTAGAAAATAATTGTAATAAGATATTGAATGCATAAATTTTTCTTAACTTTTTTATGAGTTAAATTGTGCCCTCACTAACTCCATGTGTCAGCGTTCATCGCTGGGAAAATGTGAAAATATTTTTTTGTGGGTGTTAAAATTATATTTTTATTATATTTTGGTAAAAGTTGATAAAATGTGTGATTAAAAAGTTGTGGGTCTCTTGAAATATGTAGTTAAAATTAATTGTTGATTTTGACTTAGATTAAACTCTGAATTTTAATTTCCACCTAACAAGAGGAGCGTACATTTTTGCAAATATTATGTGTTAAAAAATTGCAGGCAAAAACCTAAAAACTTTTACAACTTTGATCTTTTAACATGAATTTTAGATGTTTGATTCAATAACCCAAAGTGAAGCTTTATACCCTATTCACATAACCTTATCTATCTCGCATCACTAAAATCACAAAGGAAGTGCTAAAAGCAGGTTGTGCATAAAATCCAATGCATTATTGTTTTAATAATTGGACATACTGTAAAAAAAAAAAAATAATAACAACTTATCATTATCGAGATTCCATTTTCTCAAACCCTCACCAAGTAAGCAAAGACCAAAAGAAAACAAAAACGACAAACAGGAATCTTTACTAAAAAAATATGAGATATTAAAAAACCCTCCAAATAACGAATGTGTATAAAGTAGGATATTAAACCGTAAATCTGATAAATTAAACGAAATTAGTGGAATGTCGTCTACACCAATATTATAAGAGCGCTTCCAAGTACTACATTTTACTCAATTCTCAGCAGCAGAAAATTTAAGAATCCTTCAAATAACAAGTGGATTTTTCACTAAAGTGGGATATTTACTCATAAATCTGACATATTAAACTAATTCGTAGCAATGACGTTTATACCAATATTATAAGAATGCTTCCAAATACTGTAGTTTACTCTTTCACATCTGCAGAAGTTCTAAAATCCTTAAAATAACAAAAGGGTTTTGTTAACGAATGCTTCCAATATGCATACCACTCAATTCTCAGCTGCAGAAAGTCTAAAACCCAATTGTGTTCTTTGCAAAACATATAAAAACCTATACACACAGACAAGTAATTAACTGTATTGGAGAACGAGAACGAGAATGTGTGAAAGAAGGACCTTGGTGTTACTGAGAGCGCCAACGTTGAAATCGCGTCGCAGTCAAAGGCAGCGGCCACCGTGCAGACTTGAGATTTGAGACGTTTCGTGGTTGCAAGTTCTATAATTATAGCTACAAGGCTATGGTTTGGTCGAATGACCACTCTGATGAGGCTGTTCGGTCAACTCCGAGCGATTCTTAAAAGTTGAACCCAAATCTTGTGGCCCACCGTCCGGCCTTTAGAGCACTGTGAGAGGGTAAATCGTGGGATGTGTTTCACCATATCAGAAAAGAAAAGCTTACACGTACACTGGTGTCCACAAAAAGTCCAATTCAATATCTCAGGAATTGAACTATCACATTGCGGTTGTTAATAAGGTAGAGACTACCTCACTCCTCTTTTTTGTACCATTGGATTATGCCCCGGGGGCAACTCCGAGCAGTTCTTTTATAGCCTGCTAATTGCCATTCAGTTGTATTAAGTGTTTGATTGGTATGAATTTTGTTAATTGATTTTTTTACCATTGGAGATAAAGTTGGTGCTACCTACAATAAAAGAATTCAAAACTAACGGTTGAAATGGTGAAATAATGATCAAAAAATTGATATTAATTGGATTAAAATCTCTACCAAACATGCTCTTAATAAAAAAGTCATATGGACAGGGATGAAGTCAGGCCAAAAAAATAGGATGCCTACATGGCGCTCCTCAAGGGGCGGGTACCATAGCCAAAAAGAAGGTCTCTTTAGGATTGTCAATGGATCGAATCTGTTCAAATTCGATCTGATCCATTAAGAATAATTATTCGAATCGATCCGATAATTCGACCGATATTTGAATGTTAAATCCAAATCCGATTAGTTATGTTATCGGATATCCTATCCAGTAACCCGATCCGAAATTTAAAAAAATAGAAAAAATAAAAGTTTTATTTATTTTTTCTTTAAAAATCATAGCCTCGATAAGATTTTAATTATTTATTTATTTTTAAAAATATTTGAACTATCTTGATGGTAGGGTTGGCAACGGTTCGGTTATGAGTCGGTTCGGCTAAAACCATAACCGCACCACCAAATTTTTGACCATACCATAACCGCACCATAACCACGTAAATCGGTTCGGTTCGGTTCGATTTTTATCTCGATTCGACACGGTTCGGTTCGGTTAATAACCACGAAAATAAATTATTTTTTATAAGTTCATCCGTCAAATTGATATAAAACAATTTATGAAAAAAGTCAATGAAAACAAAAACACAATATTCCAAACGAAAATGCAAACTCAAACAATATTCCAAACGTAAATGCAAACATTATCCTAATTTTCAATTGTAAAATACAAATTTAACAAACAATATTATAAATATAATAATACTAAACTTTTCCTTCATTTTTAATTGTTGTGCATCGAAGTTACTTGATGCATTCTTCCCTACAAGTCTTACTAGCACAGATCAGTATTCAAAGTTGATTCCTATTCATCCTTGGCAGTATTGGCACGTCTAAAAAAACATCGAACTCTGTTTTTACATGATCAGCAGTAATAGAATGACTAACAAATGTAAAAAAATTTCGGAGGCGACGACGATTTGGACCGTAGAGGCAATGGAGCCGTGCGTGAGTTTGTGGTTGTGGAGAGTAGGGTTTGCATTTATATACTGTCATACTAATGCTATTATGGGCTAATGGTAAGTAGACTGGCCGAATGAGTCAGGTAGATGTAATGAGGAGGGGAGGGATTTTGTTTTGATTTGGATATAAAAATAGTGTAAAGCCCATTATCAATTCAATTTTTTTTTTTAGCGGGTAATCGGTTCGGTTTCGGTTCGACGACGTAAATACCATACCCGCACCATTACAAACCGGTTCATTAAAATCAAAACCATATCCGCCCCATTGCACCATCGGTTCGGTTTTTTTCACCCCATTCGGTTCGGTTAACTGCGGTTTTCGATTTTGACGGTTCAAATTGCCATCTCTACTTGATGGGTTCACTGATTATATTAAAAGGCCAAAATCAAATTTTTTATTCAAGTGATGCTCCTTTTTAAATGAAACTCTTCTTGGATTGATTTAGTGATATTCCAATGTGGAATACTAACTTATTAAAGGATTCTCATTTTCCAATGATTTAGTGATTTTCAATGTGAGATATTAATCATAATCATTTGTCAATTCTAAAGTGTTTACTAGTTTACTTTATTATTTTTATTAAAAATCATAGTCTCAATAAGATTTTAATTATAAACAATATCAATTTAAACAAAATAAATTATTTTGGACATATTAGTTGTTAGATTTTATATTATAAAACAAATTACTATAGTAAATCTAATCAATAAATTAATTATTAGTTTTATCTTATTTAATTAATAAAAAAATTATATCTCTTCAAAATTTTCAATTAAAAATATTATACTATTATATAATACTATTTATTATTAACAATTATGTGCCCTATAATACAATTTTCATATTGAAAAAATAGTGTCATAAATTATGCGATAATATAAAAAATATTATATATTTTTATAATAAATCGATTAGGTTGTTATCGGATCGGATTGACCTATATCCATATTTAATTCATTTAGTTAACAGATTATTGGATTCGAATCTCAATCGGGTTATTGGATTGAGACCCTACATTCATCTCCCATTAATTTCATCGAATTCGGATCAAAAAATCCAATTCATTAACAATCACATGTTTTATGTGTTTAATGGGTAAGCAATTTGGAAAGGGGTAGGGGCATGTGTCCAAATTTAATCGGATGGTTTAACGGAAAAAAAAAAAAAAAAAAAAAAAGCCACAGGGGTGTCAATCACCCTGTCACCTAACCTTGCAGCATTATTCTGACTAAATTACTAACAAAGCTTTTTGAAATTAAAAATTCGTGGATCACATTAAATATATAATTAAATATCAATAAAAATCGTGAATTTAATGAAATATATTATCAAAATAATGGATAAAATCGTAATTCCAATAAAATGCGACGTTAAAATGAAATTTGATCAACATGTAGTAGCCCCTTTTAAAATTCTTCAATTTAATTTAATTTTTTCTCTCTCTTACTTTCAACCACACAATTTTCAATAAAATAATATTACACTCAAATCGAAAATTTTTCAACCACACAATTTTCAAAAAAATACTATTTCCCCATTATAAATCCAAATAATGGGGGTCAAACGAGGGCATAATATCAGAAGAGCTTTGCCAAATAGAGGTTTAGTACTTCTTTAGTCATTCTCTATCCATACATGATATTACGTCCTTATTTGGTAAAAATAAAAATTCAGATTTTAATTTAAGCGAAAGGCAATAATTAATTTTAATAACACATTTTATGAGACTTACTATTTTTTAACTACAAATTTCATCAACTTTTATCAAATTTTGCTAAAAGCAAGATTTTAATCCTTGCCAATTTGAAATCGATTATCAACAATTACCAAACATGCTTTTATAGACCACATCTTTTGCTTTTAATTTTTTATTTTTTTCTCTCAAGAAAGTTCATTTAGGTCAAGGTGGGACGATGTTTTCTGACTATTAATTAAAAAAATTAGGGACCTACCTATTTTTTAGTGTTGGGCTTGGATTCCCGAACATATAAATTTTGAGAAAAGGAAAATTTCATATGTAAGACTTTAAGTATACACATTTCAAAATCAAGAAAATAAATTTTAAATTTCAAAAATCAAATTTTTATTAAAATTAATTTATGATTTAATTAATTATTTATTTATTTTATTAATTAAATGTATTTAGGTCACGGATCTATAAATTTTGGTCACAAATGAATAATTTAATTAGTCATTTATTATTTTTCGATCACAAATTAAAAATTTTATGTCACAAATTATTTTACGATCATAATTTAAAAATTTTGTAGGTCATAATTTGTTCATTGGTCACAAATCAAAAAATTATTTAGTCACGGATTAATTTTTAGTCACAACTTATCAAATTGTTGGTCATAATTTATTTCTCGGTCACAAATCAAAAATTTTGTAGGTCACATATTATTTTTTATCATGAATCAAAAATTTTATTGGTCACAACTTATTTATTCATTGAAAAATATTGTATTAATTGGTAACGATTAATTTTTCGATCACAAGTTAATCATTTGTGAGTCACGGTCACAATTTGTAGGCCACGTATTACAAATTGATCAATTATTAGTCACAATCAACCGAATAATTGGTCACAAGTATCCAACCCGATCTCATCCCACCTACGACCAATTGGTCACGATTAATTTTTCGATCACAAGTTAATCATTTGTGAGTCACGGTCACAATTTTTAGGTCACATATTACAAACTAATCAATTATTAGTTACAATCAACCAAATAATTAGTCACAAGCATCCAATCCGATCTCATCCCACCCACGACCACCACAACCGCCATCACTATCACCATTACCACCCACCAGACCAAGCAAAACTACAATCGCCATCACTATCGAATTGCCATTACCACCGCAATGCCTATGCCACCACCAAACTGTCACTCAATGCTTGTGCCGCCACCATCAACACCGCAATCAAAATATTTGATTCACTAGAAAAATACGGCAGTGTGCATTTAGACGTAGGAAATAACAAGCAGTATTGATATTCAAAACTGTTATAGATTTTAAACATTTTCAATTTCCAACATTCGTTGTTAGACTATTTTGGCATCAAAGCATGGCATACATGATGAATGGAAAAATGAACACATTTCAACAACCATCATAACAGAGAAGAGAAATCACAACAAAATCACAAAATCCCAAATCGATCAACGCTGCAAACTGAAGGGAGAGACCACGTCACACAACCACCGGTCAACAGTATCTGATCCAATCACCCATCACACATAGCATCGCACCCAACCACCCATCACTGCACATTACCACCGCACATTACCACCGCACCCAAAAATGCAGGAAAGGAGCCCCGATTTGCAGCGCGCCCATGAAGAAACGTCGTCGGCGCCTCGCTACATGTACCACTATCAAACACCACCTCCCGATGCCTCGCTGCTTACACTGCATCATCACACACAGTGCCGCTGATTCGAGTTGCTGTAGTGACGGCGACGGCGACAATCTGAGTAGAGAGATGGGTGGTGAAGAGAGGAGAGGTCGGTGGCGACGACGACGATCTGAAAGTGTAGAGAGATGATGGTAAAGAGAGAGTGAAGAGGAAAGGAGAGAGAGA